CTGCAGTCCATTTACGTGAATACAACATAACATTTCATAACTTAAGCTTAATAACACAAGTTACAACATCATTGCCTTAATGAAATTTCACAAGCAGCAATAAGTTAAGCTTATTCTTGACCATAAAAAAACTCTAAACACTCATGTCTGACTTATAAAGCAATCGCCTCAGCTCTTTTCACAAACGACGACACTATTAAATTGGGCTCCTTAAATTGCCTTGTTTCAATACAATTCCCGCATTTGAGATTTGAAATATAGGTATTTGGTCTACGGAGTAGAAGCTCTGACAATATTAAGCTTAAGCTTAACTTAAGTAAAGCGCCGGGTGTTTGTGTGAATATTTACCCAACACTAACATAACCATGCCAAAGCTGTATACTAATAAAATATCTGATGTAGGAGTACCACACATCATTAATAACTTACCCAGAAATTTAGCCTTATTCCCCAAGAAAGGAATAACCTTCACAGAAAACCACCAACGACGCCAAACGAGTCGCCGAACGGCATCCACCGAACAACAATGCGTTTGAATGTACAGTAACCATGAGTCATTGCGAAAAAATGCGAATAATGCACAGGATACCCATCATATTCTTAAATGACCGCATAACCGGATAAAAAATGCTAATGAGGATCAATTTATGCTAATACACATTACACGATTTTACACGTGGAACAACAAGGATATTGATGAACAATTTACTTATTTGACGTACAGATATGTTTTAAATAACAATTTTAAAAATCATAACAAACATTCAAAATCACACTCAAGCTTTTTCTTCACGGCATCCTTTCTCCTCTCTTTAGGCGTCTTCGTGCCTGCCTATTTAATTTCTAACTCTTGTTTTGAATTATCTTCTGGTTCTGATAGTTCTGTCACAATTGATTTGCACTGTGCTGTGGTGTGTACTGGATCAGATATGGTCTTTTTGATTATCCCTTTCAGTCTCGTGATTAATTGCTCATTAAACTATGGAACAACTCGATCTGGGAGGCCAGTATTGACTCAGTCATTCTCCTTGCACTTTTGGTAGCATTTCTAAGACAAACTTGCGCTCAAGCTTGCTGACGTTAATTCTCTTTAGCTTTAACAAAACGAGAACATAAGCAGCCAAAATTACACAAATAAAAAATTTGTTTGCTTTTACAAACATTCCAACGTGCACACTAAGGAAAAACACTTCGTAACGCGAAAAAAAATCAAAACATTTTTGTGTCTAGTTTTTGCAAACAAGGACAACAATTCAATACAAGCTTTTCTGATCGTGTATATAGATCGTGTAATGTGTATTAGCATAAATTGATCCTCATTAGCATTTTTTATCCGGTTATGTGAAATCTTTCTAAATAAAAACGATTTTGCTTTTATTCCGTCCGTAGAACTAAGAATAAGTTTTCAAAGCAATATTTTTCTAGGGAACTGGGTCAATGTCATAKATTAACGTGCATTTCACTCACAAAGTAGAAATCCCAGAGTACTGAACGGGGCAYTGACGCGTTTTTAACGTGCTTTTACAACAAGATTGGCACCGGGGGTAGGGATTTTAACGAATTGTTTTCGCAGCGGGGCAGCGAACGGGGATTTTAACGCTCGTTTGAATATATAAGAGCRTGGAAACTAGTGGTGTTGGTGTCGGAGGGAGGAATTTGGTGACATGCTGATGTGCGAGGGGAAGGGCTGTGGTTTCACTAGTGAGTGTGTTGGGCGTCTCCACAGTCCTGCATTTTCGTGGTATTGCCCAGACTGTAATGGTAAGTATTAACGAACTTGTTTCAAATACCCCAGTCCAAAAGATAATCCTTAAAAAGTACACGAAATCATGCTATTATAATATTTGTTTGGTTGATTTTATTTGTAGATGATCCTTATCAATATTGTCTCTGTAATCAAGCTGAGTTTGGACTGATGGTGTGTTGTGACAACAGAGAGTGTGATACAATGTGGTATCACATCTCCTGTGTGGGCCTCAAAGGGGCCCCTTCAGGAGTATGGTTATGTCCTAAATGCAAATAAAAAAAACAAAAACTGTTTTTTGTCTATTTTTTCTTGCATTAAAAATAATAATGATGTTGCTGCAATAATGATGGTTTACGAGGGAACTGAGAGAGTTACGCGCGGGGTCACAGTAGCGGGGCTATAGTAGTGGGGGTTTTAACAGTAAATGTGCCCCCGACTACCAGGGGAAATGTCTTATTTTAACACCACTCAAACGTTAAAAATCCCCGCTATTCCTCGGGGTTTGGGGGGCGGGGGTGTCAATTGACTAGTGCATAATGGGAGCCTTAATGCTAGTTTCCATGTACCATACAAGTTCTCTCAGTTGTGATTTTCGATTAAAAGTTAAGAAAAAAGAAAATGACACATTTCTTCGTTGGGTAACATTTTTTTAAAAATGTCTTACAGGTGGGCATGTACTAGTAACCAATTCTTATATTCATTTTGATGTTACATAATTCAAATATGACAATAATGTTTGAGTCTGCATCTTAAGTATGATTCCCTTATACTTTTTATGTACAATATTATTTTTTCCCTTTGGAAAAGTAACTCTTTCTCCAGAATGCCAATTATGATAAGCCACTGAAGTCTTTATTGGATCATAGTTAATAACTATTAACTATGATTGGATGGGATTTTAGTATCAGTCGTCAATGTCAAGTCCAAATTCTTCATACAATGACTTTGTTGTCTTTCCATCTATCTCAGCTGAAAAGAATAGTCATTTTAATCAATTAGTTAAGTACACATATTTCAAACCACATCAGGGGTGGAGACAGGATTTTTCAAATGGGGAATGGAGAAAAAACAATCATGATTCAAAAACTTCATTGATAAATCACAAAATTCAAAAGACTGCAGCTTGTAACAAAATTCCATAGAATTSATAATTCGGTGAAGATTGCAGAGTTTTGATTTATTATTCATTCTTGAATTTTTTAGCATTTGGTGAGTTTTCAAACCTTTAGGGATCAAAATGGGGGASTGGAAATCCACACAATCCACCTTCCCAGTATAAAAACTGTTAACTCTACTGGATAATTCTGGAGTCTCCAGATTTTAGGCTRCACCTTCAAATCTACCAAATACTACCCAAATGTCCCAGATAATCATTCAAGTAGGTCAATTGTTAATGGGACTTTTTAAGATAAGTTTCCAAAACATATTACCCAAACTACATTTTGAGACAAGACCATTATGTGTCCATCTTCACTGTATCTCAGGAAGCCCAAATGATAAACCATCATTNATATAACTCACTACCTCCATCAAAAAAACAAAGAGTAAGTTTTTATACTTCTTGCTTTATACTCATTATAAACACAGAGATTAATTTGATTTTTCACATTCAGTCAGATCCACAAAGTGGAGAAAATTTAAATTCCTCTCACAATGAAAATATGGAAATTGAAAAAGAAATGGTAATTATTCAGATAACTTAAGCATACTTGACAAAAATGCTAAAATGTACACATCATAAATGCAGGCTTTACTAGAAAACAATGCAACAGGACCATTGTTAGAAAATACACAGGAGAGGGAAGAGTCAAATGGAAATATGCAAATTGAAACAGAAAAGGTATTTTACTCTTTAAGCAAATTTACAACAAACCAATATAAAAGTTATCAGATAATAGGCAATCTCAGGGGCACTTTCCCCTTCCTGTTCTGCTGAGCCTGAATCTGCATTTGATTATGTCATCATATCATACAACTACATACTAATTCTTTGGTAATGTAAGCTCATGTATCTACAATCAGAAAAAAAATAAAAGAGCCCTAAGCATTCCACTTCCTATACTCCTTGCATAATGCCAATAGCCTATTTGATTGCTTGAATATTGTTCTGAAAAGATTGACAACAGAAGATATTGGAGCTTGGCTCAATCAACACATGGGGAAATCTTGGTTGGATCAGAGGGGGATGTAATGATGGAGAAGACTACATGGCAAAATATACAAGCAAAACTTAATGGTATATATTGCATAATACAGTAGAGAGTTTCAAAATAATACACCAAAACAATAGTGAGGGTTTTTTTACTTTTTATTCTATACAGAACCATCATTCGAGGATAGTTTAAATAAACTTGGAAAATCACTCGAAAAGGAGAAAGATAAGCAACGCTTGATTGGCCACGAGAATATGAAAGGATTTGTTCTGACCCATGCACCAAACATATATAACACTTTACTAAGTTCCATATCAAATGAAAGGCAAGGATTGAAAAAAATTCAAATGCAGGAAAAAAGAGTAACATCTCTTATATGGGACCTTTTATACTTCAGGTATTCATTGAAAAATCATGAAAACTTTTGTTGTTTGTCTTAACAGAACTCCATTTCAAGCATCTTACTAATTTTTAAAATATGACTTGAAAATTTGCATTTTTTCCTGAATGAGATTTACTGATAAAAAGAAAAGCTGTTCAAATTTTAATAATTATCATATCTTTGATAGAAATCAAAGACATGGCTATTTTCATGATGAGACTTCTATCTTTCTTGATCTCCATGGCCTGACATCAACTGGAATGTCAGCTGGTATGGTCCTTGGATATGCAAGACACCCTAAGACCAAAACCATGAAAAAACATGAAATATCATCAACTCACATAAAAAGAGTCCAAGACAAATTAAGTTCTTTTAAAAATAAGAAGGTACCAAGTCAAACKATACAAATTAACCTACATATTCAAATTGTCTGCCAGCTATTGCTGTTGAATTATTTTTACTAAGTGTGGCCTTCCACACACTGCATACTTGTCGATTGACACTTACATTTTATTTGAAGGGCAATTTTCTGATCCTAATGATTGATGACTTCCACAATATCAATGTTGTTAAGACACCACAAGGYCGACAACTATCCAATGCTGTTCATATGGCCACTATTCTAGTGGATCTTCAGAACCATATCCCAGTCAAGTTATCTGAAAATTCTCATAGAAATGTCAAAATCAAGGTCCCTGGGAAAGAAGAACAGAATTGCAAGGGAGGAATAAGTGGCGATGCTGTAGCAAAGGAATTRGAAGAATTTTGGCATCATTACTGCACCAAGTCATTTCTTGAAAGCGTCCCAGATAACTACCGCAGAATTAATCCAGGATTACTACAAAAGTCACTAAGAGAGCTAAGGTACACAAAATACCAGGACCAAGTGCATTTGTAGAAATAACTAATGTGTAGCTTTTCATTCACAGAGTTTATGGAAGAGAGGAGGAACARGAATACCAGACACTGAAATCTACTGTCCTTATTGATGAAATTGAGCAAGATCTCCACAGTTTAGATGACTATAAGAACACCCATGAATTTATYTCCCAAGCTGTACCAGAYATTTGTACTTACAAGAAATCAAATGTCCTTCCWGTAGTTGGAGATTGGCCAACGTGGTACTTCCACAAGAAGATGGTTTGCCTCCAACCTGAAGCACATTCATTCATACCAGAATTGGGTCAGTTCCATATATATCTGAATGGAAATGAAAACATTGTGATCAAATACCATCCAGTTTTCAGTGAGATTTACAAAGGAGTGTTCGGCCAACGGAAGACATTGCCAGCTAAACCCAAACCAGATAAAGTAAGCCTTTGTATCACTCTGGCCTATGCAGGATGGTTGCAAGTCAGAGATCACATTACCAGTGCGTTTGGCCAATGTAAAGATGTGGAATATGTATGCCTATACCATTTGTTTGATGAATTGATACCCCTGAACTTTCTCCATTATCCTGTCATTGTCCGTGGAGGAAATTTCGAGCTTTTGGAGAAATCTATGAAGAGGCTTACACTAATGTTCKTTGGTATGGATAGGCACCACTACAATAAAGCTTCTATTTCTTGGATAAGCGACACTAAGTTCCAGGAAGAAGAATTTCCAGAATACCATGAAGCCAAAAAAGATCTCTGCTCTGTTCTCACRGAAAAAAAAGTGGAAATATTCCATTCTAAAATAAGAAGTCGAATTGATAAGAATGACAAAGCACCAAGAATCCAAGAAACTGCACGCTTGCTGTCAAGATCAAACTTTGAAGAAAATTTTTTTGAGAGAGATTATGTCAATGGTTACCAGCGAGGAATAAGTAATCAGAACCTGCTTCTTCTGACTGGTACTTATATTTTTTATTTCTATGGCATTTATTTCACAATGTAGTGATCTTTGGCTCAAACTGTAGTTCCTACAAAATGAATTACACACATCAAGAAAATCACAAAATTACCTTCCGGTAACATAAATCTCATAAAATACTTTCTTGTGTTCAATTATAGGTTGGGCAGCAGAGTGCATACTAGAGATATTCGAACGAACTGCCTTGAATCTTGGTCAATCTCAAAAGCTACCACGACCATTAAATAAAAAGGGGAAACCATATGGCAAATCTTCATACCAGTTAGCTGGAATAGATGCAAAGTTTACAACAAAGAGTTTARCTCTTGCTTATAGATGGCCAGGGTTTGAGCCAGAACCAACACTTGATTGTGATTCACCAGATTGCAACACCCCTTTAGATTCTTGTGTCAAGCGTCTTACATGTGGCCACACATTTCATCTTTCATGCCTGAGCAACACAGGATGTATGATATGTTTGCCAAATCTCATGAAGGACATCAAGAATTTGGCCAAACTTTGGAACAAGCAGCTGATGAAAACAGATGATGAAGGAGAGAGTGATAGTGATGACAGTGGAGATGAAAATGATGATGATGATGATGATCTCCCATCTATTCGACCTGAAAMAGACAGCCAGTACATAAATACTCAAGAATTTCAAGACTTCCTATCACTAAAGTCACAAAAAATCAAAGAAATTGTTTCAAAATTGCATGAGCCTTAAATAAATGTCAACCATGACCTCGATTGTAAATATGTAAATAAAATAAACCATAGCTTTTTATTGTAAATATGTAAATAAAATAAACCATAGTTTTTTATTGTAAATCTGTAAATAAAATAAACCATAGCTTACTTTGATTGTAAATATGTAAATATAAAAGTGATTGTGAATATATTAACCTTAACTAAGAACTTATATGTAAAAATAAGTAATTCAATAATAAACAGTGTTCAATGAACTTTACTAGTAACAACATTTTAGGAACAAAAACACAATAATTGACTAGTTTCACAATGAAATTATTATTTTGATACAGAAAAGTCTCATCGCAGGAAAGCAAATTGAGAAATTCTTCGTATTTAGAGTAAATTCTTACCTCACATTTCACCGTTTTGTTTGTTGTTTGGTGTCAACCTCCAGATCCAAGAAATATCCTTCAACTCTGAACAATACTCGGTATATTTGTCGCACTAGCATTCCTTTGGATTTTGAGAATAAAAAAAATTCCGATATCTTGATATTTTTGGCAAAAAGGCCGATTGTTTGGCAAAAATTCCAGTACATATTCGCACATGTCCTACGAGAGCTCCGAAGTCTAAGAGTATGCCGCTGACCACATGTCATGACGTCAAAAGCGTATTTCCGCGGTGTCCGCAGGCCTTACATTCGTAAAATTGCGCTAAAATAGAACAGCATTTGTCATTGGTCAATGGAGGAAATAATGGACCAATCAAAAAAGCTGTTATGAAAATTTAACTTTGGTCAGCGGAAATGTCTAAAATCGTCACGCGCAATTGTATTTAGTTATACAGGTTACTATAGCAACACCGTTCATAAAATAGAACAAGTTGGTGATATTGTGTACAAGAAAGTCCTCCTGTTTGTAGCGTAAAATACTCTTGGTTCTGAAGAAATTATATTTCTGAAAAGTTAAACAAAGCTTTACAATGCTTCACGAAGGTGGAACAACAAGAATAACGGAGGAAATCGATGAACTTAGGCGAAAACTTGCTTTATTAGGTAAGGAAGTTTGACACAAAATTCGATTTTGCATTTTATCGACATTGAGTTTTTAACTATCAATTCTTTGAGTAATACCAA